CGCTGGAGCAGCTCCCGCATCACCCGCTCTGGCTTTTTGCTTCAGCCGGTGGCCGGGCTGCCTCTGGACACACTTCCATGAAATGAGGCTCAGGATGAAGTGGGATCCCCACCCAAGCAGGTGGGACTCACCACAGCTCTCAAGAAATGCCCACCCAGCACTCCAAGCCTGCCATGCCAGAGTTCCAGGACAATTCCCCAACTCCTTTGGCTTGTCTCTGTTGAAGAGCAGGCACCTCACCCCTTGAAACACAATGTGGAACTGATAAAATGGGGTGTCTGGACTGCTGAGCTGAGCAATCCTCATCCTGCCACCGAGACTGTGTTGCTCCGCGGGGACGCCCGCTAAGTCTGGGCACCGACCAGCTGCTGCAGATCCTGACAGCCCTGGCCTGTCTGTGTGGGTGTCATGGTTTGAGATAGCCCCACAGTCCAATTCCCTAGCTCCATCCCCCCTCCCACATCTCAACCCTATGTGAGATGGGTTTTTCCAGACAAAACACAACCAGACTCAAAGTGGGGGAAAGGGAATATATTACAATGACTGTACAAATAAATACTATAACACATTATACACACGATCACAACTATCTCTACCATGACATCTAGTATTTACAATGGATCAGATCTCTTCTCCCCTCCAAATAAAAGTCCAGGAGGGAAAGAAGGACAGATCCCTTCCAGTCTCTCAGGGCAGCAGCTTCTTCTAAGGCAGCAGGTTCTCCTCATCTCATGCATGCAGCAGCTGATAGCTGGATCCCTGCCAGCACTCACGAGGGAGGTATCCAAGCTTCCTCGGCCCCATCGTCAATCAACCAGAGGGGTCTTCCGTGGGCTTTGTAACCCCAGACAAAGGTCGCTTCACCACGGTCATATCACGAAGACACAGGGGGTCTTCATGACTGTCTGGTATCTCCAGGAGATTCAAGCTCCTTACAGGACCTCTGTGCCCTGTCTCAGGCTGTGAGCTTCTTTGAAGCTTGCAGCAAGGGAGGGCCCCCAAGGCCAACCTCCCACACCGTCCTGGCTCAGCTCTCAGGACGACTGAGCTTCTCAGCTCCTCTCTGCAGTGCATGTTGCACTTCAAGACTCTTTCAAGTAAGAGTCCATCATCTTCCTCCTTCCAGGAGGTCTCAAAGGAGGTTTGGGGGGGTCTGGTATCAGTTCTTACCCCCAGAACTCTGTAGCTCTGCTACTGGTTTCTGCTGCTTCCTCCGGTTCAGGTCTTATCAGTTGGCTCTCAGCCGTAACCTCTGGATGCTGCCGCCGCTTCTGCTCTGTCTCTGCTCACTCAAGATAGAAAACATCTCCCAGCTCACAGCTACAGACACATAGTCCAGCTTAACACTGTTCCAAGTCTCTGTAGCCCCTAACTGGGGCTGGGGGGCCCCAGAGGCCCCGAGGGGCTCCGGGCCCCTTCCTCGTGGCTACTACAGCATGGCTACTTCTTCTAACAACCAAACTACAACTCTTCTCTTCCGTTTAGCTTGTGGTATGTTTACATTTCTGCAGGAGCGCCCATTGGACAGAACTTCAAAACTTCCAGGGGTTTCCACCCCTGGGGGTTACCACTTTTCAGCCTCTGGAGGAAAACAAGGTTCAAACCACTACAGTGGGTAAGCACAGTTTATTGAGAGGAAGCAACCGAGAGAATCAACTTTTTTAATATCCCTTTAGTGTCCCTTTATTTCCCCATTTAGTATTGAATCTTTTTCCATAAGTAAGTTGTTCATAGTATTTTTCCTTTGATTTCTCCTTTTACTAACCAATCTCGTGTTAATAGTTATCCACAGCTCAGTCACCTCCCACAAGGTGTGTGTGTGTGTGTTGGAAAAAGCTCTGAGGCTGTTTTGCTCTCAACCTGGTCATCTGACTGCTTTCCAGCCTCGGCTTGCCTGTGCACTGCTCTGTCTCCAGCCCAGATCTGCTCCGATTTCATCGTAGAGTTTTGTGCTCCTTGACAAAAAAAGGGGAGTCCTGACCACAGCCAGCCGCAGACAGCGTGAGTTTAGTGGGAAAGCACCCACCCTTCTTTCCCCTTTTCCCCTTCCCCTCCTCGGTGGGTGGGAAAATCTCCATTTTCCGGCCTCTCCCGCGATCCAGGGCCCCCACACGGCAACCCCCAGAGCCCAGCAGCGCCCCCTGCTGGCCAACACCGAGCAACCGCAGGCTCTGCTCCTCCCCTGACCCAACAGCGCCCCCTGCTGGTCGGGATTAGAATCGCGCCAGAGGACAGAGAGGGATCAAACTGGTTCCTTTGTTTGAAGGGGACTTTTTGGGGGCGGGATTATTGTGAAGTTGGTTTTGTGTTCTTTTGGTGCTTTTGCCAATTCATAGATATCCTTTAAGAAAGGGTTGTTATTTTTCTTTGTTCCATACTTTCTTGATTGGAGCCTCTTAATTTCGGATTTACAATTGCTGAGAGAGGGGAGTTTAGTCTCTCATAACTCACCCTCCTTAGCAAAACACTTTCAGTCTCATTCAACTGAGACACCCAGTATGTTTGGAAAACTTATAACGCCCTAAGTAATTAGTGGTAATTACTTAGAACAGCATGGTAATGAGCGTTTCATGCCAGTGTTTTCCCAAGTGACTTGCACAGTGTACCTGTCCCCAGGCCTAGCACTGATGAGGTCATTTTGTGTTCTTTAAGTGTCTGTTTAAATGACATGGTGTGTCCCATAGTCAACAAGGAGTCTTGCAGTGTAAATCCTTTCAAATGGCTAAGGATTTCCCCATATCCCCTTCTCTTTCACTATCCTCAGAGATTCACAGTCTCTTGCAGACAGATTTCTGAACTCTATCGAGCCCCAAACCTCCTGTGAGGCTCCAACTGCAATTTTTATTTTTTTTTTTTTTTTCTAACTAGCTTTAAAACAGAACTTGATGCAGACGGTTGTGGAGAATTAAGCAGTGTTGGCACTTAATGCAGCTTTGCAAAGGCAAAGCACGTACTTGGACAGGGCTTCTGTGCTGCCCTGTTGTCCTCCTGCTTGTGCTGCCCGAGAAAGGAATAAACTCCCCTGAGTGAAGAGAACATTCGCTGTGCTCTCAGAAATGCGTTGTTGCTTTCCATATGTGTTTTTTGCCATCTAGTGGCAGCAAGTTCTTGGTGTACTGTTTACCTCCTAATTTAACTTTCTACGCATGGTACAAAATTGTTTGTTGTAGGACTCCTCCATCAAGCAGCAAAGTGCAACTCTCCAGCCATGCTGCTGCCTGTGCTGTTGTGACAAAGGGTCAGGAGACTAGCTGGAATGGTCAGGTTGGGAGAAGGATTCGCTGTCAAGTAAAACATCAGGAGTGCTCAAAATCAGTGCTTTTCTGAAGCTTAATGAGTTTTGAGTTATTTAAGCACATATGATCATCTGGTCACTCATGATGTGGTCATATGGATGCCTCGTTGCTGATTTAGGGGTGTATCCTGAAAGGTAGCAAGTCTTATGAAGAACAACAGAGAGAAGCGGTGTTTTTTAGCCTAGAAAAAAGGAGACTTGAGGGGAGACCTTATTGCTCTCTCCAGTGACCTGAAAAGGAAATGGTAGCCAAGTGGGTGTCAGTCTCTTCTCTCAGATAACAAGCCGCAGGACAAGATGAAATGGCTTCAAGTTGCACCAGGGGAGGCTTAGATTCGATAGTAAGAAGAAGAACTTTACAGAAGGTGTTGTTATGCCCAGGGAAGTGGTTGAGTCACTCTCCCTGGAAGTCTTAAAAAGATGTGCAGAAATGACACTTGAAGAGATTGTTTAGTGGTGGACTTGGAAGCGATGAGTTAACAGTTGGACTTGATGATCTTAAGGGTCTTTTTCAACCTAAACAATTCTACTACGCTATGATTGTGGAGCCTCTAAAATAAAAAGCCCTATTTTGATGGCAATGTGTGTTTCAGGAGTGCCTCCCATCACAATAAGTCACTGTGGTTATTCTGGTCCCCACAGTGCCTGGGATCTAATAGGCAAGCTACCCATCCTGTTTGCATTGGGATACTTTGGGTAACAGGCCCCTTTGTCTTGGCCTTGCTTGACATGCAACCACACAGCCTAAATATTTAATCCTCAAAATCAGCATTAGCCTCCTTTCTCCAAGACCACTTCCTTAAGATCTGCAGATGGTACCTCTGATACACCCACAGGGAAACAATCTCCTTGGTCACCTGGTGATGACTAAACCTCTCACTTGCTGTGATCACCCCTTTCTGTTTCTAGAAAGAAGTGCCACCCATGAAGCCCAGGGAGGCTGCACTTCCCCCTTCACTTCAGCAATCCCCTTCTCCCCCTCCAAAAACCCTGCAGTGTTGCCACTGACTAGAAGATGTGTGACATCACTGCACAAAACCCCACTGGCCACACAGTAGTCTCTGTGACCTCTGATGTCTTCTGCCTTTTCTCTGTCTAAAAACCAAGGGGCGAAGAGTTCAAAGAACTCAGCACTGGAAGCAAAGTGCTTGTTCATAACACAGAATAGTCGGTGAAAGAGCGTTGACTTTCAAAGGATCCATGTCTTTTTTTGCATCTGGAGAGAACTGGGTGATCTTCAAAAGATTATTTGTAACACAAGTTTGTAACCATTTTCACAGCTACTTTAAGAACTAATGTTAAAAGGTTCTTAAGAGGCAGATGGTTGCTCTGGGAGCTGCATCACACATTCCTGTGAATATTTAGGAAGCTCTGCAACTGGGTTACTGGAAAGGCAAATCTACATTCATCCAACCTGTTTCACTGGAGCATTGCAACAGAATTTCCACGTGCAAAATACTTTGAATGCCAAAGAGTTCAATCCTTCTAGAGTAGACTGTTACTAACAAGAGGCTGGGCTTTGTCACTGAACTGGTCATTTTCCTCAAACATGTGAGAAGGGCTGAGACCTCATCTCTGACTTTTAATTTAGTACAGCTTTTTGAACATCTAAGAGAGTTAATGATAAGCTCTTTCTGCAATGGTAGATCTCCTAACATCTCATGCAGTGACCAGTGGTAAACTATAGAAAAGCTCTTTCACAAATCTTTTCCCCCTAGCCAGATAAAAGAGAATTACTACTTTGATGAGAATATAACCTGTAAAACATAAACATATTTCTGCCTCATGTTCAATTTAAACTTCAAAACCATGGAATTCCTTTAGAAACATTCCTATAGTTCAGAGGTAATATACACTCCCCCTATTTTCAAAGCAAATATGCATCTCCCGATGTTAATTGGCTTTGGATCTAAGGAGAACTTGTCAGAGGTATTACAAAACCTAGTAAAAATTTTCACAAACACAAAAACTTCATTCTACTAAGGACTGCCATCTAGTTGAACAATTTTAGAAAACAATTAGTAAGGTTACTCTAGAATTTGTTTACATTATTAGACATCATCACTAATTTAAACCAAGACTTGCTGATTGAAGTGTCTGAGCTAATTAATAAAATCTTTGTTGTGTCCAGGCATTCATCTAAAAACAATGTTGGCTATTAGCTATGGAAGGATGTCTTCGTTGTTTGCTTTCTTTGCCTTTTTTTTCCCCTCGTTTTTCTGTCTTGGCTGGAGGTGAGGGGGGTGGGCTGGGCTGGTTTCTGGGTCTCTCTGCTGGCAGCGCTCTGCCCGCCCTAGTTCGAAGCTGCTCACTTGCAGTCCTGCTGCAGTGTGACCAATTCTATGTGCGTTCCATTGTTTAAGTTCAGCCACACACCTCCACCGGGAGAGAAGGAGACGCTTCTTCTGCCAATGCCGGGTCAGCTCTGGACTGCAAGCTTCTAAATATTAGAAGCTGGGGCTCTTGGCCTCACACATGGTGCCATTTGTAGGAGGTCAATAACTAATCGATCCCAAGTTTGGAGGTGAAAACTGGAATCTTTATTGAACGCGCATCTCACAGTTTAGGGTCTGGGGGGCAGGACATGTTAATGAGGAGGATGGATTATGCTAAGTTGGGGATGGATTATGCTAACTAGAGGATTACACAATTTTCTGCTACAGTCACACAA